ATGTGTTGTTATACTTACATATCAGAACACAAGTTTTTATTTTATATATGTGTTGTTATACTTACATATCAGAACACAAGTTTTTATTTTATATATGTGTTGTTATACTTACATATCAGAACACAAGTTTTTATTTTATATATGTGTTGTTATACTTACATATCAAAACACAAGTTTTTGTTTTATATATGTGTTGTTATACTTACATATCAGAACACAAGTTTTTATTTTATATATGTGTTGTTATACTTACATATTAGTACACAAGTTTTTGTTTTATATATGTGTTGGTATAATTTGTCTTCGACTCAGATATTGATTGAACTATTAAGCACAATAATTGTTATTTAAATACTTATATGATGCTTCTCTTTAAGTTTTAAATGTATTTATTTTTTGGTCTTAACGCATCATTCTGATAACGTGTCGTTACAGTTGAACTATAATATATACATGGTCATGTTTGCTTGCATCATTTCTCATTACTTTTAGTGTTTGACCTTTTCAACTTTTCAATAATTGATTTTTAATCCTTACAAAGATTTTCATTAAGTTAAATCGATGTCTTTTATCACAAATATTACACAGTAAATTACGTTTCTATGTAACTTAAAGACCTCAACACCGATATGCTAGTAAAACATTGCATGAAATTTATGCCAACCATTCAAGTGCAGGTATTCATTAAATATGAAATACTTATAGGTAATCGGATATCTTTAGAATATTCGGTTAAGCCTTGTTTAATGTACAACCGAGTATTCTCTAAATACTAGAATAAGGCTTATTTTTGTGTTATAAATTGTAGATCATACCATAAAACAAGATTAAAACTTGGGAAAATATTTTTTTATACGGAAATCACATCTCGAATGTATTATCTTTAAAAGTATTTTCCATTCTTGTCGCTATAATTTTCCCATCACGAGAAGTTTCCTTCAAGGAATCGTTAAATAGTAAGACAAAACTCACTTCATAACTCAGTCAGCCACACGAAGCACAGAAAATCTGTGATCATTGTGACTACGAATATAGACTGAATAGTTAAAGTCAAATTACTGATAATTTACGTTGTTCTACTTTATTAAAAATAGAATGAAATTGCCGCCATTTTTATAAGTGATGGCTCAATGAAAGAAGATGCTATTAGTTTTTTGATTACATTTTATAACGTTCTCTCCTGTTTTATTTTTGCAATAAAATGTTTAGTACATCTTACCACTAGCAATAAGTTTATGTTTTCATATTTGAAGTATATGGAAACTCCGAAAGACGGAATAAAACTTTACTTTTAAGCAGAAACGTGATCTTGTAAGCATTTGAGTTCAGAAACTCCAAAGTTATCGTTCTATGCTTTCTTCTTAGGCCGTTATTTCCGGTTGCTGACTTTCAGTTACTCAGAAAACTAATCTTGTTTACGTACTGAAAGTCTACACCTTAAGACTGCTGTTTAACACAATTCCTGTTTCGTTAGATTAATATGAGTATCCAACATGATACCATTTAAAACAAGCAACATATATTTCATTATATTAATATCAGTATTCAACACAATACATTTTAACACAAACAATGTCTGTTTAACTAAATTAATCACCATTAAACACAATACGCTTTATCACAAACAAGATCTGTGTTGCTAAATTAATACGAGTAATGAGTAGACCATGCTGGAATAAAGATAATGTTTAATGAGTAGACGAAACCTCAGAGAGAGAAAGTGGAAGTAAGAGTAAACCATGTTGGAATATTTAATGTGTATTTCAATACTTCAGAGATATAATGGAAGTAATGAGTAGACCATGTTGGAATATTTAATGAGTGTAACGACGCCTCAGAGAGAGAATGGAAGTAATGAGTAAACCATGTTGGAATAAAGATAGTGAAATGTTTAATGAGTAGACGAAACCTCAGAGAGAGAGAAAGTGGAAGTAAGAGTAAACCATGTTGGAATATTTAATGTGTTTAACAATACTTCAGAGAGAGAATGGAAATAATGAGTAGACCGTGTTGGAATACTTAATAAGTATAACAATACTTCAGAGATATAATGGAAATAATGAGTAAACCGTGTTGGAATATTTAATGTGTATAACAACGCCTCAGAGAGAGAGAGAGTGGAAGTAATGAGTAAACCATGTTGGAATATTTAATGTGTATAACATTACTTCAGAGAGATAATGGAAATAATGAGTAGACCGTGTTGGAATATTTAATGTGTATAACAATACTTCAGAGAGATAATGGAAATAATGAGTAGACCGTGTTGGAATACTTAATAAGTATAACAACGCCTCAGAGAGATAATGGAAATAATGAGTAAACCATGTTGGAATATTTAATGAGTGTAACGACGCCTCAGAGAGAGAGAGAGAGAGTGGAAGTAATGAGTAAACCGTGTTGGAATATTTAATGTGTATAACAACGCCTCAGAGAGAGAATGGAAATAATGAGTAGACCATGCTGGAATATTTAATGTGTACAACAACGCCTCAGAGAGAGAGTGGGAGTAATGAGTAGACCATGTTGGAATATTTAATGAGTATAACAACGCCTCAGAGAGAGAGTGGAAATAATAAGTAGACCATGCTGGAATATCTAATGAGTATAACAACGCCTCAGAGAGAGAGAGAGTGGAAGTAATGAGTAAACCATGTTGGAATATTTAATGTGTATAACAACGCCTCAGAGAGAGAATGGAAGTAATGAGTAGACCATGCTGGAATATTTAATGTGTACAACAACGCCTCAGAGAGAGAGTGGGAGTAATGAGTAGACCATGTTGGAATATTTAATGTGTACAACAACGCCTCAGAGAGAGAGAGTGTGGAAATAATGAGTAGACCGTGTTGGAATACTTAATAAGTATAACAACGCCTCAGAGAGAGAGTGGGAGTAATGAGTAGACCATGTTGGAATATTTAATGTGTATAACAACGCCTCAGAGAGAGAATGGAAATAATGAGTAGACCATGTTGGAATATTTAATGTGTACAACAACGCCTCAGAGAAAGAATGGAAATAATGAGTAGACCATGTTGGAATATTTAATGTGTATAACAACGCCTCAGAGAGAGAGAATGGAAATAATGAGTAGACCATGTTGGAATATTTAATGTGTACAACAACGCCTCAGAGAGAGAGTGGAAGTAATGAGTAGACCATGTTGGAATATTTAATGAGTATAACGACGCCCCGGACCTAGAGAAGACAGTATTGAATAGAAAACATTGCAGGAATGACCAGTTAACTAGAATAACATTAACAAGTACTATATATATACTCATTTTTTAACTAATGTTTAACAGTTTGTATCTAGATATGGCCAGGTGGTTAGCTAATGTTAAATTATTATTTTCCTAGGCTTAACAACATTAAATGTTTAACAATATTTAACTAGATATAGCTATATGGTTAGCTAATATTACATTATTATTTTCCTAGATTTAACAACATTAAATGTTAAACAATATTTATCTAAATATTGCCAGGTGGTTAGCTAATATTACATTATTATTTTCCTAGACTTAACAACATTAAATGTTAAACAATATTTATCTAAATATTGCCAGGTGGTTAGCTAATATTGCATTATTATTTTCCTAGGCTTAACTACATTAAACGTTAAACAATATCTATCTACATATTGCCACGTGGTTAGCTAATATTACATTATCATTTTCCTAGGCTTAACTACATTAAATGTTAAACAATATTTATCTAAATATTGCCACGTGGTTAGCTAATATTACATTATTATTTTCCTAGATTTAACATAAATGTTAAACAATATTTATCTACTTATTGCCAGGTGGTTAGCTAATATTACATTATTATTTTCCTAGGCTTAACTACATTAAATGTTAAACAATATTTATCTAAATATTGCCACGTGGTTAGCTAATATTACATTATTATTTTCCTAGATTTAACATAAATGTTAA